TTGAATAATAAATGTGTAGTTTCAAAGGATAATCCACGAAAAATTGTTTTTAATTTTTATCTCACTTTTAATTACATCCATTTGTAATTTATCTTGAAATATTAAATTTTCAGTGAAACGATTGCAAAAGCTCTCGAAAAAGTCGTACTCAGATGCTGCCTTTCCGAAAATTACGACTCATTATACGATAGTTCCGAGGGAAACAGATCCAAGATGGAAAGGTAATTAATTGATTAACGAAGGGTATGCAATTATATATTTTTCAATATCTAAATTAAAAATTCTAAAATAAAATGAAAGGCTAATTCATATAAAAATTCAGATGTGAATATGGAACGAGTAGTGGACGAGACAGACGTTCTCATAATTGGTGGAGGTCCAGCTGGAATGTCTGCGGCTATTCAGGCAAAAAAATTATCGGAAAAGCACGGCAAAGAAATTCGAGTAACTCTAGTTGAAAAGGCCTCGGAGATTGGTGGTCATATTCTGAGTGGTGCTTGCATCGATCCAATTGCCCTTAACGAACTAATTCCAAATTGGGAGGAGCTGGGAGCACCTCTGAAGACCCCCGTAACCGAGGATAAATTTGCACTTCTCACCGAGAAAGGGAGAATTCCTATCCCAATATTCAAGGGAATGCCGATGTACAATCATGGAAACTACATTGTGAGATTGGGGCACGTTGTTACCTGGTTGGGTGAGCAGGCTGAAGCTGCTGGAGTGGATATCTACTCTGGTATTGCAGCATCAGAAATTCTGTATCACGATGATGGATCGGTTAAGGGAATTGCCACTAATGACGTGGGTATCGCCAAGGATGGCTCGCCAAAAAGTACCTTTGAGAGGGGTATGGAGCTGCACGCCAAGTGCACAATATTCGCTGAGGGTTGCCATGGACACTTGACCAAACAATTGACGAGAAAATTGAATCTCCGAACTGATGCTGAACCTCAGAGCTACGGAATTGGTCTCAAAGAGGTACAGATGCCTGATTTATTTCTAAAACCTTTTCCCATTTCTGACATTAAAAAATAATTATTGAATTTGCACATTCCTCCAGATCTGGGAGATTGAACCCGCTAAACACAGGCCAGGAGCGGTGGAGCACACGATTGGATGGCCCCTTGATAAAAACACGTACGGGGGATCCTTTTTGTATCATCTGAATGAGGAAACCCCATTAGTCGCTGTGGGTTTTGTCGTTGGTCTCGATTACTGGAATCCGTACATGCATCCCTTCAAAGAGTTCCAGAGGTTCAAGCAGCACCCGGCAATCAGGCCGACCTTCGAGGGGGGAAAGAGGTGAAGTCTCTTCATTTAGAAATTTTATTGACAAACGAGTCTAGAAGGGAACCTAAAGCGCCCGTAGCAGAACAAAATTGTCAAAAATATTAACACTGATATTAACAGAGTGAAAAAAAAATCCAATTCAATCAGACTCTAAGGAAAAATTGTTCCAGGGTGGCGTATGGTGCCAGAGCCCTCGTAGAAGGTGGTTTCCAATGCCTTCCGAAGCTGCAATTCCCTGGGGGATGTTTGGTGGGGTGCACAGCTGGTTTTTTGAATGTTCCGAAGATCAAGGGAGTTCATAATGCCATGAAAAGTGGAATGTTGGCTGCTGAGAGTGCTATTGAGGCTATCATCGATGCTGAAGTGAATTCTCCAGCGACTGCTGGACTCGAACCCAAGAGCTACACCGATAAAATTAAAAACAGCTGGATATGGAAGGAGTTGTACGCCGTAAGAAACTTCAGACCTAGTTTTCATAGCAAGTTGGGAATGTATGGGGGTCTCATGTATTCTGGATTCTCCATGATGCTGGGAGGGAGGGAACCCTGGACTCTGACTCATGGAGGTAATTTTTACTGTTTACTCTTTACTTTGGCTCAATATCAAAAACTATATTGGGGCAATTGATAAAATTGTCACTTTGAGAGTAATTGGAGATCGTGTCAGGGAATGAATATTAAATTGCGTAACAGGTGCTGATCACACAAAATTGAAGCCAGCCTCCCAGTGCCCCCCGATAGACTACCCCAAACCCGACAACGTCGTATCGTTTGATCTTCTCTCCTCAGTTGCCCTAACTGGAACGAATCACGAAGGTGATCAACCCCCTCACCTCACCCTCAAGAACGACAGCATCCCAGTATCTGAAAATTTGGCCATTTACGATGGCCCCGAGGGTAGATTCTGTCCTGCTGGTGAGTACTGATTCAATATTCCCTCTACTCCACTCGACAAATTCCATATTTATATTCAAACTCTCATGGGTAATTCCAAAAGCTCCACACTAATATCTTATAACTTATTCCAGTTCAAAGCACCCAACCAATCCAATTCTCTTTCTTGCCTCGAATCAAATGTCCATTCAGCCATGAGAAAAATCGAATTTATGGATTCGACAGTTGGAAAAATTTTGTTTTGCCTTTGCCGAATCACTTGAAAAAAAAGAGTGGTAACGAATGGCTTTTTTCAAAAGTTTTCCATCACAATTGATAGAAACGAACAAATTCCCACAATTTCAATTCACAGTGGGGCTATTCCTCAAACAATCATTTATTCCAGTCTACGTGAGAAGATAAACTGAGGAATGAGTGGGAGAGAAATGCAGGTTTGCAGGACTGCCAGTTGGTTTTATCGTTTCCATTAATCACTCTGTCGATTGCCGTTTATTCGCGCGAATGGAATCACCCAGGCACGTTCAATTGTACTCGACAGTTCAGAGTTACTATTACTCGGGGACAGATTGTTCGACGATTTAAATTGCACAACGTAAATCAATTGAGAGAAGGTGAAAAAAATATATATATTCAATGGAGCCTAATAAAATTCATTGAATACTCCTATTCCTTCTCGCTGGTTAATTGTCATTTGCGTGTCTGGGCATAATGGGTTTACAGTACTCCATGGAGTCGGTTTCTTCTGCTCTGGGTGTTTCAGTTTGTGTTGTGAATACAACAGACTCAATTAGATGAGAGAAAAAAATAACAGATGGTAAACGGGAATATGTTGTAACTGACGTAAACGAAGAGAGAAAATTCTCTCATGATTTTCCCCAGTGGCTAACGCTGTGGCTGACACTCGCGTTATTTTTCTCTCCTTTTATCTGCATTTTCCATTATTTCGAGAGATCTTATAGATCTTGTCTCTTTTTATTCACGGAGAAAAGACCTTGTGCGTCTCTTTGTCGAGTATTATGAATGGTGCGTGTTATGCAACGAAGGGGTGAAAAATTTTTGATGGGGTTTTAGGGGTGAATATTAAATTGCCACAAAAACATTCGGTGCAAACGGGAATTTACAAAAAAATGTGGTCAGGAAACGCCACGTGGAATCAGAGCAATTATTTCTCGTGAAAACGTAATTTTTATTAATTAAAATTAGGGCAGATATAATTTATGAGACTTATTTCTTTTTAATTCGGAATAAAACAATTTTTTATGTGCGTGTTAGAAAATATTCCCCATAAACTCGGAGCTTCATTATTATTAGTAAGGCACTGGGAATTTTAATGGTGAAACGTCGTACGAATATTGATGTCAGTCTTTAAAAAATCGTGACAGAAAGCCACAATAAACCTGAAATAATAATTAATGTTCATTGAATAATTTTAATTCAAATAACTAGCGAGTGTCTCTTAATTCTTTTGGATGAGATATCCTTTCCAGCGCAATGAATCATTTATTTAAATTCTCTCTTCAATTCCACTTCAATAAAACAGAACATTAGGTGCAAAGATAATTTATCTGATTTAAATGAATAATATTCGCGATTAAAACAAGGAATTCGTGATAAAAGACTTTATTTATGCCCGCATTAAAACCCATTCTCCATAACTTCATCCTCGTAAACTCACCACTTCATTACTATTATGACACCGAGAACTTAAATCTTCATTTTTCTCCGGACTTTAAACTTCATGTAATGGAAATAGCGATGAATTCTCGTTGTAATATTTCACCGTAGAAGCAGGCTACCTTGATGCCGAGAGAACAGAAAAAGTGTTGATAAAAAATCCACGAGAGGTAATATCAGTAAATTTTCTAACCCCTGATCCCATCGGCGACGAGACAGCGAGTTATCGAGTCAAAAAATTATCGAGACCGTATGATTTATCGGAAATACACCATTAAATATTCCCGTCTCAATTTTGCGCGTGAAATTTTGATAAATTTTGTACCTAAACTTTCAATTTTTTTTATACTAGTGCAGCTCGTCTCATTCTTTATCACCATTCGACATTTTCACCCTTGCTCTCACCCTGATGTTTTCACTGAAAAGTGGGGAGTATCGACCGAGTGTCCTTGAACCTGACTCACCCGGAGGAACCCCGCGCGGCTAGACGACCCCGGACCAAGCGCAAGTTACTTCACCCATCACGAAAACCCCCACCCACCACCCCCAAGTTCACTTCAACATGAAATACCGATTAATTTCTTGAACATCCCTCGACTCTCAAAAAATCCCATAAAAATTACCCCCCAAAAAGATTAAAATTCAATAAAATTCCATGAAAATCCCGTGAAAATCTCGTGGAAATCTCATTACCCTCCGATTCCCTTTTGAATATCACCTATGATACCTAAACATTTATTACAGGGCAATCATTTTTCATCACATTTTGGAATATTCAGAAATTTGAGTAATTAACTTGATTTTCATCGCGATAATTAACGACTCGAGGGTATAACTGTAGCAAAAGCAATGCAAGCTCATCAATCCTCCACTTTGCTATCAACATTTCTCTTAATTACCACCGCCTAAAAATACGTAAAATTGTTTGCTACAAGCTTACTATGTGCGGGGATAATTTGCGAAATAAATTTCTCTCCGTGGAAGAGTTATCCGTGCGAAAGCGCATTAATTCGCCAGAAGGCGAGCGAGAAAATGAACTCAAAATTGAGTAGAAATCCATCAGAAGGGAGTGGATGTTTGAAGTGGAGAATGAAAACGCTTTTTAGACTTGACTCGTTTCCCTCAGACAGTCGATAACCCCTCACCATCCCGACAACTTCGTCTGGATGAGGAAAAGAGGGTTTGGGGTACAGCCGCCTCGAGGAAACAACTCGTTTCACTTCCCGACAGGCTTCTCACTCCATTCGTCTTGTGGGGTTGCGACGACAGGGGTGGAAACTCCTAGACGTTAGAGAAATGAAAGGAATGGTGGACAAAAAGAAAAAGTATATTCCTCGAGATGCGGAAGCAGGAAATCGTTAACCGAGCAAGTGGTTGGGTAAATTTATTGTCCATAACTCGGTGAACCTATTGCATATTTATCCGAAACCCTCATGATTTATGACTGCAGTCATCCAACTCTGTTTATTACTCCACAATTCATCGCGATCAATTCTTCTCCGCTAAAAATTATTTTTCAAATTTTTAAACTACCCAAACAAGTAGTAACGTGATAAGTATAAAGTATGATCAGGCATATTCAACGTTTTTCATTTCTCATAAATCTCCAAAACTATCGATCTGAGCGAGAAACGTTGAAATACTTTTTTACAGTCAAGAGAATTTCCGGGAATAATGAATTTCACACTTTTTTCCGTAGAAGCAATAGTTCATGCGTAAATCGATATTGAACACGACGCCGCGTAAAGTGGAGTTATCACATTTGTTTGTTAAATACTTTGCTTTTCAAAAACCATCGATCCGAGGGGAAAATATTGAAGAACTTTTTTATGGAAGAGGGTATTACAATAGACATTCCATTGTAATACGTTAAAACGGACTATTGACTTTATCGGGTAATATTTAATAAAGTTAGGCATTGCCCTGGACATCTAGAAGTTCTCGTGTAAAATGGATGATCTGATTCAGTGCTTATCTCCATAAATCTTTCATCCAAATCCTGGGAAGTGTCTTGGCGGTAGAATTCAATTCGTTTACTCCTCCATAAAGGAGTTCCGGGACAAATAAACTGGGGATCTATTTAAACAATGAAGCAGGAGGAGGAAGTGAATGCAGGACCATACGAATTGGTTGGGAAAATGGATTTCCCGCTGGACACTGTACTAGTTGTGGGTTGGGTATACAGAGAGGATGGATACGTGGTTTATGGAGTGGAAGTTACAACGCTCTTCCAATGGATGTGCGCTTCCATGGTGGTCAGACACGGTCAGTAGGCATAGGTCGGCCATGAATTGTGAATGGAGAGGAGAGGCCATTGCCAAAGGTGAAATGCTATCCACCACTTGCTACTTTTCCATCTCATTCGATCGGGGGATGAATAATTGATGGCACAGGGATGTTAAGGGATGGTTCACTCGTTATTTTTTTACTTCCGAAGATGTAACGGATGAGAGTAGAATAAAAAGGGCACAGGATATGTTTTTATTATCTTCACACAGCGTTTCCTCATTTTAGAAAATTTTTATTTGCTCCAGGTGTTTACGAATTCGTACCTTTGGAGGTGGGCGATGGGCAGAGGTTACAGATTAACGCCCAGAATTGTATCCACTGCAAGACGTGTGACATCAAGGACCCCAGCCAGAACATCAACTGGGTGGTGCCAGAGGGTGGTGGTGGCCCAGCCTACAATGGCATGTGAACCAATCGATCAATGATTCGATTCCTCCATCGCGTGATCGAGATGTCTTCCCCCACAAAATCATCAAATTCGGTGCTCATTAGTGAAGTGGTGAGAGGTTGAAAAATTCATTAATCTCTGACATTGTGATAAAATCGTTATCATCGCGATTATTATTTTCACCGCTTAAACTGTTGAAATTATACCGCTAGCAAATTTATACGTATTTTTAGATATTTTTTATGTAAATGGTTCTTTGATATTTCTATTTAAGCTAACCCTAATGATTAGGGATTTCTGCAAGCCAATCAATGCAAGACTGTAGTGAAAACACGAGTCATACTCGTTGAGAGAATTATCCCACATTATTGAAGACTTATGCAAGTGCCTTCACATTTTCACCCAAATGTAAATACATTCGTCGAAAAAAAAATGAGAGAACTAATTCGGTGATTGAGAGAAATGAATTTATAATTTTTTTTATAACCTGTTGAATTTACAATGAATTGTTCATTAAATCTGTAAACTGATAATCTGATAGTGTACGAGAGAATAAATAATTTTCCGTTATTTTTGGAGCAATCGGTGGATCGATGATCATTTGATTTCGAATAGACCACGAGAATACGAACAGCGGCCAAATCCGCAGAATCTACATAATGGGGATTGGCCACCGGTAATTTACCATTTCACCGCATACATATTGATTTGTTATCGAAATTCCCGTTATTATCATTCTTGGGGTTAATCTTACCCTTCCGGCACGCCCAAAATAGTCGTTATGTATCCACGAGGATTTTATCATAACAACTATTGAAATGGGACCCGGAAGGTGCGTCATTTTCAACGTAATTTCTGGGCTGTCAGGATCCATTTGTATCACCACGAAATTCCCCTCCCTGAGAAAGTAATCAAACATAATGGGCCACTGATTTCGATGGGCTTGTCATCCTCTTTGTGTGAGTTCCACGCCCCCTTACCATATGCACTAGCTCCAGCAGAAATTGCGGGGAAAATCAAAAATCCATTACAATTCTTACCAATTATTATTGCAATTTCAAGAACAATTGCGGATACACCGGCATCATCACCGAATTCCTCATTCCAAATGTGAATTCCTGGATTCGACCGGACAATATGTAAAAAAGAATCATCACTCCGAATTTCCTCACTAAAAATAAAAATAGTCTAATAAAAAGGAATGCTAAATTGTTTTATTACCATTTTACAATCTATACTTTACCTGGATGACATTTTTTTAACAGCAATTCAGTTTTGAATTCTTATTGCAGCGAAAAAAATGATCACAGAGATGAGAATTGTCAACTCATTTCACGAAAGTTCTAAATCAATCCTTCAAGCAATATTTCTTTGTTCCTGGATCCCCTATATTTTCTGTGATGTCCTCCCCCAGGTTCGCTCACTCAATTTAAATTCTCGGTACTTCTCTCCCTCTCGATTACTTGAATTGCGAATCGAGTCATCTCTGTCTTAAATTCTCCTTTCTCTCCGGTGAAAGCGACATGGGGGTGGATAAGGGGGGAGGGATTCGAGGGGTTCCCGACAGAACTTTCCCGGGCTAGGTTGGCGTTGCCATGGCAACCCTGGCAACCCATTGGCAATTCGCAGGAGGGTTGCACTCGTACGTGCGTTTACCCGTCGGCCCTGGATAGAACCCCCCACAATGCGATCAGTGTCTATTCTGAAAGCGTTACTTGCTCCTGTGGACACTGTTGCGCCTGGCCTTCAATGTCTCATTACTTTACCCACCAAGTGACAATCAAACTACTCCAGAGGGCCAACCCTTGATGAAATTTATTCATCCAGCTCTCGAATGTCTAGCTGTCTCCTCGCACTTTTCACCCTCCAGCACCTAAATTATTGCCATTCTCTTTTTTGATAAATATCTCGGACCACCGGTCTGATCTCAACATTTTCGTGATTACCATTTTTACAGATCTAATTGAGATCTGGAAAAATGATAATAACAAAAAATGCGTTATCTCCTTTAGGTTCGGAGATATTCGGGAATATTCGGAGATATTTGAGATATTCTACTGCCCTAAGTAAGTCTTGAAGCCAAATGTCTCATCGTAATTCCGGATAACCTAATGATTAGTGGGGTGGATCATCCCTCCCACCCACTGGACACTGGTGTTTACCATGAGTTTCACCCCTCGTGGATGATCTCCACATCCACACGTGCACGTGAGACACATTGTAGTGGCGTGTAAACGCTTTTGCTCGTACCCTGGTGATAAGGGCTAAACCTACATGGACACTGAGTGAGCTACGACAGTGACGTGACTGAAATTACGGTGACAATTGGCTGATGTACGCTATTACATTGATCGAGGGAATGCACTCGAATTAGAGAATGCCTGGTGCAAGCCGAGAGTGTTTTCGAGTTTAATTGTAATTCACTCTAATGACAGGGAATTAATTTCAACCAGGGTTTTGCATTTTACCTCCGGAGGATTCAATGATTAATAATGAGGGAATATCGTCGATTTAACCCGAATCCACTATTATTCATGACGATTTGGAAACTACTTTGTGCATTAATCGTTCCTGACGATTAAAAAAGTTATTTTAATCAGTCCCTCACTTTATTTTTATGCATAAAAAATTTTCAGGTGAGGGATTTATGAATTGTAATTCGAAAATTAAATGTATATCAATATTACGATAACTCATCATCGCAAGTTCATTATAATTTGTCCATTGCCTCTAGCAGAATCCTCAATGTCATTCCGCAGCAAGTTTCACGGAAAATGAGGATTTCCATTGCCACTAATGATGAACTGTAATTACATCTGTGCTGTATCTCCAGCATGCATGTCGCCTATGTACAATGACGTTAACACTGGGTATGCAAATGAATTATCTTATTTGATGCTTCATTTCGTGCGAATGGTATTTGAATTATTTTCCAGCTGTTGCCGGTCTATTTGGACGTGTCAATTAATCGGATTGATTTTAGTAACATCATCGATAGGCCTTCCGGTTCAATCGACATCGGGCTGGTTGCAGGCTAATTGGAATTACTCGTGCTATCGACAAGTTTCATCAATCATCTGGTAATTCGCGCCTTTCAGGTCCTGCGTCTCCGTCACTCGCGATCATTCGCGATAGACTCGACTTCTCCATCGAATCATTAATAGGTTTCAGGTATCGCGATAGATGCTGATTATTTATATTAATTATCTCAATTATTATAATCCCGAAGTCGATCCTTTTGAATTCTTCTCATTGAAATATTATTTATTTATTCAAAAAATCTTCATAAAATTCAAATCGGTTGAATGGTAATGGCATTATTTTGGAGGGATTCATCGATTTATTGACCAATTAGCAAACAGAACATCTTGAATACGCCCTAATGGCTCAATTTGGATCGGCCTTTTACACAATCATTGTACCCGAGGTAAACAGAATTTTCTCGTTTCACCCTCGGTTTTTGTTGCCTAGCTTTGGCAGTTGTTGCTCCTCATGGCGTAACTGGGAACAAAGAAGGGGGAAAAAAGTCAGTTCTGTACTCGATAGCGACAGATGCGGGGAAACGTTATCGATTAGCTCTCAGAGGTCATTTGGAATTGGATGTTGGTTGAGGAATAAAAGTACAGATCTACAAGCGTGAAAACCTCACATCTGTCCATCATCATTCCCACCCCTAATGGATTATCGGAATCATATTCCCGATGGTGATATTCTGACGCATTCTAGATGACACGGGAATTTTTTTATCGCCATCGGGGTCATCAGCAAGCATTATCAATGCATTGGGGGGTGTAAAGTTATTGTTGTTTGCGAACAGTTCAGTAATAATAGGTGATTTCAATTATTTTGCGGGATTCGTTGGTAATGGGATAATATCCCAGTTTTATGGGATTATATTGGAAGATCATTACGGGTCAAAGTCGAAGTTATTATGTATTACAATCATCAATTTTTGTGGTCAATTTGAAAGTTATGAGTTTGTTGGATGAGGTTTTTATTGGATCGATTAATTAAAGGTTCAGAGTACTAGACTACCAGAGTGATGGATTTATTTGGATGAGAAATATTTGGAAAATGTTGTCCTCTTTTTTTTATAGAGAATAGTTGATGTTTTTGTGGGGTGACCCATTGGGCGAGCCTCAAGTACCCCGTAAAAGGTCAGTTCCAGGTGTAAGAACCTTTCGCGGGTTGAAACTCTTGGTTATATTCACCATGAAACCTACGTCGTGATGAAGGGCGCATTGGGTACGTATATATCTTGTTAAAATTTAATGTCTACACATTTGTACAGGTCGAGTCATATTGTTGATGTACTTTAACTGCAAATCCAACGCACTGTGTACTTGGGCATTGTACGCCGTTAACTTAGTGTATAGACACTGGGTTTCAGGTCAGTGCATGCTAGGGTCCAAAGGTTGGTAATTCACCCAGTCGTTAAAGTGGACGACTAATTTAGAGGGTGAATTAGACCAAAGGGAGAGTCATTTTCCCCCATTAATCAAAAATACATTTTTTCTCATAAGAAACTCAATATTTTTCACTCCATGTCTTCAACTCTTCATTAATCAAGTGCAATTTGCAAGCCACGAAATTAATCCTCAATCGTTTATTTAAATACCGAAAGAACTATTTTTGATAATGAGAAACGATAAAATCACGAGCGAAATGCTGGTATTGCTAATTGATTAGCGTAAATAATGGCTGAAACATTTCCGATAATCGACTGCGAGAAGAAACAGTTTCGAAACAATTTGAATATTCACATCCAAAGGACCATAAAACCGCCATTCATCAAGTTTCTCTACCGATAACAATCCCAGTACAAATCCACATTCACAAAAGTGTTTATACATCCGTCTACTTTGCACGTAGAATTCGCAAACTCATGCAAAGCTTCTGCGCGAAGTAAAGGCCTTTCAGTGGCTGTCGCTCGCACATGTTCTCGCCAATTCTAGAGGGTTGCATAAAAATTAGCATAAATAGGGGTGTGAGGGTTGAGTGGTTAGAATGATTCTGAGGGAAATGGCACGCAGCCGACACGTGTCACGAATAGCCAAGAATACGGGGGTCTGGTTTACATTCTGTCTCGGTCTCACCTTTTCAAATGCGAGAGGATTCTCCACGGCATGTGAGCAGGACGACCGTTGGGCTCACGAATAGCTTCGACGGATCAATCATAATGCCCAACCAATGACCCATTTGGGAACTGCTGTCATCGCAATCACAAACACAATCGCAATCCCGATAAATTACCGATGTCCGGTGCTTATATTCCCTCAAATCAGTTATCGCCCTAAAATATTATCCAATTAGTTAATTACTGAAATCGATGAAGAACGTTATGCGATTGATTTGACAATTCTATCATTCATGAAATGACAAATGTTATCACGAAATGGTACACTAGGGGAAAATTCTTGGAGTGAAATTTTTTCTGTGGGGATTTTTCTGATACCCAGAAATTCCATAATTAATAATAATTTCCAATAGAGCTGAAAGATATTGAGGAGTTCCTAACAAAAGGGTCACTAGAAATATGAGAATTTACGAGATCATCCCAGAATTCGAATGTTGCCAGGTCGTGAACGTGGTCGTGGACAGCCGGCCCATCTTGTTGGGCCCCTGTTTGTCCCGGTTTTATATTTTCCATCCTCCACCAGAGGGAAGATGGCAGATCGCACGGCAGATGGGACTTCAACGGCCAACAGCTGCCGAAAAAAGTCGCCTGTGTATTACTCCACTCGATATCATCTTTCTCGCTCACCCATTGATGGCCGCCTGTTTCATTTTTTTTTCTTCAGGGTTGTAAAATGAGCCCCCACCCATGTGTTACCGGAACCACGGGTTCAAACCTGTTGTACTGCCTGCACGAGACCCTGAAAAAATAATCCCTAAATTAATAATCCGGAGTCCCCAATCTCATCAGATGAACTATCACAACTATCAAGTCGTCAAGTAATTATAAAAATCATTGAACATCCCCACTTTCCGCCTAAATTTCATTAAATAATCATCCCCGCAAATTCAATTCCATTAGTAATATGAATTTCACTAAATTTTTCGTTAAGTATGATTATAATGGATGAGGGAATCCAAGGAAAATGGATTGGATTGAATTTTTTTACAAAAGAGACTCGAATCCTCAGTAAAATTCCCGTCATTCACCCCCAGACACTTTTTCATCCCTCAACTTTCACAGCCCTTTTATTTCAAACAGAAAGAAACTGTTCCACATGGAATTATATAAAGCCAAAGTTCAAACTAATTATGCAGCGGACAGTGGGAGACCATGAATATGACGGGCTTAACATTTTCACCAACTTCTTGATTAAATTAAAGTAAACTCATTATCAATTTAACTGGGATTTTCACAGGCACTTGGAAGTTCTGGGTTTTTAATTTTATTCGGTTTTGCTTAGGATCATTGAAAGGGGCCCATGGCAGCTGTGAAAATACAACAGCTGATGAAAATATTGTGTCCCAGAACGATTCATGTGTTTGGAGAATTTTACCTGGTTATTGTCAGTTGAAACAATTTAATTACCACTGCGGGATCGTGTAATTCGGTGCTTGTGTAATTGACCGCTGGAAGAGCCAATTATCAAAGTTATTTGAGTCAACGGGAGTATGAAGTATAATATAATATTAAAACAGTATATTAAATTCGAGGGCTTAATCCTGAATGTCAATTTCAATTAGCTCACCCATGGCTTCATAATATTTTCATGATTCCGGTGTAATGAGGTTTTTGGAATCACATCGAATCATTTTCCAGGCGATCAACAGTTATTACGTACGAAAATTCCATGGGAGAAATTTTATCTGCGTTCATGATTCACTCGCGCAATTATTATTGCGTTACGCTACACGGAATTCACCTGATACCCAGATTTTTTCATTTACATCACGACCTTTTGATTAAAACAGTCCAGGCCATTATGTCAATCCATTCGGGATGAATGTGCCGCGTTTTTCGTCAGTTTACATTGACGAAATCTGTTATTCAACATTTTTACGACTGGCTGTTACAATTTGTATTTACAGCACCAATAAAAGTCGCTCCGAATTGATTTTTTGGCAATGGCTCAATCGCAAAGCGCAATCTCTCTGGTTTAACCGAAATTTTAAATCCAATCTGTCGCTCAATTCTCATTAATAAACATGTTCAATCGAAATTCTAATAAATGGAAATAATCCTACGAACAGCTATAACTCAAAAATTCTGACGTTCCAATCCGTCAGTAGAAATTCCGTATCAAGAATCTCCATAAAATTTCGGGTTAAGTCACCCGACTTTCACTCGAATTTATTTTGACAGAATGGGCCAATCTGAAATCAAAATCTGCCAGCAATTCTTCAGTAGAAATAAAAATCATCGAGCTCTGAGTGAAAATCGCCTTATTTCATCCCCCTCCAAGAGAATAGATCCCGATAAAATCGCACAACCCTCCGGGAGGGGACGGTGAGGGGTGGGAGGGGGTAAACCCGATTTGCAAATTGCATGAGCAAGAAATAAGAGCTACATGTTATTGTTCGCATTTACCACCGACAATGGCTCGTGGCAGGCAGCTGTTGCGATTTCAGGTCCCCCCTCTTAATTCCGCATATATATATATATTTTTTTTTATAATCCACAGGCCGGTTTTGGGATCCCAGACGTGTGCCCCATAGGAAATCATCAAAGGAGAGATCATTCATGGTTTTTGTCTGAAAGTTGGCTGTTCAAATCGTAGTGTCAGAATTGCCTGCTAGTCCTCATCGATGTATTAAATACTCCAACCCCGAATCACCGGGGGTTGAATGACAATGGAGGGGACAGGGGGATACCTCCTGGTGCCACGTGCCATCTATGGGAATAACGGTCCACGTGCCGAGATTCAGTGGGCGTTGGTGATGAAAAAGGGGGACCAACTGCCTCCATTGAATCTTTTCATTATTCCAAGGATTATTTTTTGTTATTCAACAAATTATTTCCGTCGGTTCGTTAAGCCTGATATGGACCCACCGAAATTCATTAAAATAATTAATAACGATAAGGAAATAATAGGATAAAACCATGGTTCGTTATTGTAATTAAATATTTAATGAAATTTTCATTATTTAATTTATTCAATCGACGATCATTCATAATTATTTTAATTCATTAAAATTGGAGTTATCATGTTAATAATTCACATTCTGGGAGAGACAGTGAGAGTTTTTTATTCAATCTGCTTCCATGAGTGAGTCGAAGGAGATACCATTTTAATTTATTATTTTATTCACACCTGATTGCAGATTTCACTGCTGGACCAGAACTTCGTATTCTCTGAAAGGGATTTCCTGTCCGTTGTAGGGAATATACAGACTTCCATGGCTGGGATGTATCTGAAAAATAGATAGAACGCGAATATATAGACTTCCAGGACTATAATGGCACCGGCAATTTTTCCTGAAGCTCTTCTCCTGGAGCATTCCGGGGGGAATGAACATTTCGTGGTTTTTTTTTTCATTCTTCCGGCAGTTTTGAGGGACAAAATCGCAGGAAAATATTAAGGATCTTTACGTGACTATGATATTACCTTTCCTACACATGGTATGCCGTTGTGGATTGTTCGACCGACGTAAAGAGGTTCTCCTCCACTTGTTCGACCGCCGTCAACGGCACCGGGAGGAACGTGACCGTTTCTTGATGGCACCCATTGAAATTCCGCTGGCATCAACACCTGACATCAATGGAGATTAATTAAATGTAGTAATTACCCCTCTATCTCCGCAAATCAATTATTTTCCAAATTAACAATTGCATGGTTGATCAATTACCCCGATGTCATCATCTCTATGGCATTTTATTAATTGATAATTCAATTATAAATCATGATTGCAATTACAATTTATAATTATTCTGATTGATCCCAAGATAAATGGAAATCGAGTTGTATTTTTGGAGATAAACGTAACGAAAATATTTTAGAATAACCTGATGCAGGTTATGCAATTAACGCGAAAAAATGAATGTTTATGAATTTTTGAGAAATTTAGAAGAACATGCAGGAAAATTACTGCACGATCATGACGATCATGAGTTTTTTTTTTTTTTTTTTGTGAGTTATTAAATAATGATACAATAAAACGGTTTTAATTTCGAGTAAATCCGATCAACAATTTGTCAGGGAACATTGTTTTTGTTGAAAGGGGGCAGAGAATTTTTATATGGATTAATAAATTTTGAGAAATTACCTCAAAGTCATGTTTCATGATTTCAGTGCCTCCATATGCAACATATGCAACACCGTGCTCTGGTTTAGCTTTGGCTGGTAGAATATCACCCTCATGATATGCCCTACCAACAACAAGACAGCTACCATCTAGGTCACGACCCACTGTCACCATTCCAGGTACGACATAACGCGCACCTGAATATCTCACCCACCTGTAACCTCCTAGTACAGAAGACATCCAACCAATGCTTTCATTCGGCATTACAATTGCCCGCGGTGAATTTATATGAGAATGGGAAGACGGATGAATCCGATGCGTCGCACTGTGAAACCAATTGTGACAAGCAAGTGTGTAATTCCGAATGGATTACGCGGTGCGATTACACTCTAAACTCGCGCATGAGAAATATCAACAATTTACGGCTTATCAGTACGCACTGCCGCTATTCACCCACGGGAATTCCATTTCTTTGGTTTTTTTTGTCAATGACGTCGCTCTCCGTTTTCACGGATGAAAATATATATTATAATATTTATTATAAAATTCCAGGAAAAAATGCGTTACTCCACGAATTTGAGTTTAATCGCACTGCGTTGACATTTATCTCTGAAATTTATGACAGTTTTTGATATTTTTTTAATTCATCATTCCTCCGAGTTTACAATGACTTCCGGAATTTTTAAACAAACCGATTGCAAATGATAATTGAAATAGAACCGGAATTTCTGCTCCGCGCATTAACGGATAATAATGATCGAATGTCTAAAGTAATCTTATCAATTCGTGGTAAAATAATTCCAGCAGGTAAATAAAATATCACTTTACATAGTAGGGGGATATAAATCAATTATCGAATCGCTATCCGTCAGGTCCAAAGTACTGCGAATATTGATCGCGCAATGTTTACGATCGATATCTGAAATCGGTGGTATTTTGGCAGATTTTACACCATCTTTTGTGTCTCGGTGAATTTCTGAGGCCATTCGGGGGTCCTAACTACTCTCGATTCTCATATTTAGATAGAAATTCCCCGATTACCATATATATGGCGCCACATATCTGCACACAGGCGCAGATTTATGGATACGACAAAATAACTGGAGAATATTTCTGGCAACTGAGGATGACGGCGCTTATCGTTTTCCGATATCCCGGCCATTTTTTATCAGTAAAGCCTCTTATCTAGCTCAGGTGGTGTCCTTCCTCGACTGTCGACTTACGGAATCGAACCGAATCACGGCCTATCAGTGGTTTTTTTCAATTCTTTTTGTTCCATTGAATTGAAAAATAAAGACAAAGTCGGGGAGCACAAAAAATCAATTCACCGCGTCCGAGTATTACGTTTTAATATTCCAATTAATTTATACCAAATCTGTTATTGTAGACTAGCGTACGCAAAAAGAAAGTTTTTCTCGGCGGGTGGATAACGAAAATTGGAGAGAAATTGTTGTGAGAATCGAGACCGTATTGTTAATTTACGAGTTGAATAAATTCAGTGGAATGAATATGAAGTTTGAATAATGGGATGAGATAAATACTTGGTGAACCCGGAGTTCCCCGAAACCGATCGCGAATTTCAATCAATTATGAATACCAATTGATATGTCAGTTTGAAGAGGGATGGCCGGGTAATTACGAGCGATTATATCATCATGGGATGATTTGGGGCAAACTCTTACCTGACATTTCCAATTTTGAGAGGTCGCAGCGGTTCCTGCTGACTTTCGATCGACTTCCTCGACTGATTCCAACTTGCCACACGACTCAATATATCGAGTCGACACCGCCCACAATGACGTAATTCAGATAACGAGCGAAAAAGCGATTTGTCTGTCATGACTGGTGGAATAATTCGTGGAAGGGCTGATGGTCTAGAGGTCCTGCGGGGGCTGGAAACATCCGGGGAAATGATACCAACGAAAAATCGAGATCGCGATACGCTATATATCCCATCACAAAATCGGCCAATTCCTAAATCACCTGAAAGCAATTCGAACTCAACGGTTTTTTCCTCGATATCTCGGAATTCGGGGCTGAAATTCAAATTTTCTTCATGACCTTTTTTGCAGAGCCGATCGACAGCTACAAAAAAGGTAATTACATAATTGTGGCTGGGTGTCTCAGATTGGGAGATATTTCACAAAAATCCAGGTAAACCGAGACCCTTTCGTTCCGTGGAAAGATTGAGCTAATTTGAGTGGTTCGACCGCTTTTCTGCAGACTCCAAATTGAATAAAATCAGTGAACCAACTAAAAGCAACATTTTCGCCAACACTTTTCGGAACAGAATCCCTTGTTCCAATTTGCAGCTAACTAAACCGAGAATAAATATCAATCAGCGAATTTAATGGTATGAATTACCCCGGGTTGCATTCTATCTTTACAGTAAACAATTTACGGCAATGTTCGGAAATGGAGTCTGAGGTTGTGAGCAATTGTGTAATTATCCTGCTCAGCACAAAGGGAGAGGGTATTTGGTGTAAATAGGGAAAATCCCCCGGAAAGCACTAGTGCGCAGAGAGCTTCATTCACACCACGAAACGACGATAAATTACTTCTTCATGGACACCGATCAAATTTACCCCCGGACAATTTCTACCCTGTGTATCCGGAATTCTATTTGGATGGATATACGAAAATACACAGTGAATTATAGGGTTGGATTTCTTTTGGAGGGGCTGAGGGGTTCCGATTTACTCCGATTGGTTCGATCTCTACGAATAATATTTCTCGGCTCATCTCTCAAAGAGATTCAATATCCAATAAAATTATATTTGCAAAATTCGATTTTTCATAATCTTCAATTGATACGTTTTGTGTAACGAAAATATAGCCTATTTTTCAGTATTTTTTTTGTTGTTTTACAGTTGAATAAAACCAGAGCGATGAATCATCATTTCTAAATATATGTGAAGCCATCACCTCTGTCGTTATCAGTGTTATCAATGATAATCAACTCGCCGAGCCATCGGGGAAATGTCAATGTAAAAGTCAAGTGCTCACTCATTGTGTGAAAAACTATATTTGCAGGGCTATTATTCATTCAAACAATTTTAATGTCATTAACAATTGTTCATTTCAATTTCATATTTAATTTCATTCTGTTTAATTATTTTGCAGATCCTTCACTTCTCGACCAAAATCTCAAAACTCCTGGCGACGTACTGCGTACAAAAATACGAGTAATAAAGCAATCCGCTACTGTGTCCCACCTGTGCAAAAAATTGTTTATTAAATAAAAATTCCAAACTCCTATTTTCATCGAATCCCGTAGCAATCATAATTTTTAAAAATCTTCACTTCTTCCAGAATTTTCAGCCCAAAAAAAAACAGAACAAAATTATCATTATTTCGCTAAATCAACTCATCACATTAATTTATTTAAAAATAAATTGTCGTTACCTTTCCCGCGACAGCGTATCCATCATGAGTGGTGCGACCAATATAGAGTGGGTCCCCTTCTTTGTTGTGTCCACCAACAATAGCATTATTCGGTATTTTAAGATCATTGATCTTGACCCATTGGTACTCATCCCGATCCATCATCAAGATCTATATAAATTCACGTAATTAATTCATAACTCCAATCATTAAATAAATAAATTACCTCATATCGGTACACGTTGTACTCTCGGTTTCCACTGGCGCAGAAGGCGATGCCCTGAGTTGGTCGGGCCTTGCAAGGTATGAGTTCATTGTCTTTCCAGGCCCTAGCAACCACCAGGGTCGAACCATCGCTGTCACGACCCACTTTGACCATTCTCCCTTCGATGGAACACTTGGAGGAATATTTTTCCCAACACACTACAAGAAACGCAATAACAAAAACAATAACAATTTATCTACTCCAATGATTTCTCATTAATTACTAAAATCATAAAACAATTTTTTCAGGGACATATATAATAATGATAATTATTATTAATGTCTAGTTCGTTATTATTGTTATCATCACGATTATTATTATTGTTATTATTGGCATTATTGTTATTATTGTTATTATTGTGATTGATCTAATATTCCAGAATGAAAATAGATTTTTTCAATCAGCGAATTTAATGGTATGAATAAAAAATTAATGGTATGAAAAAACAATAAGAATGTATCTACTCCAATGATTTCTCATTAATTACTAAAATCATAAAACAATTTTTTCAGCGACATATATAATAATAATAATTATTATTAATGTCTAGTTCGTTATTATTGTTATCATCACGATTGTTATTATTGTTATTATTGGCATTATTGTTATTATTGTTATCATTGTGATTGATCTAATATTCCAGAATGAAAATACATTTTTGGCGTAAAAAAAATAAATTTTTTCTACATTAGGAAGATTTTCAATGTTATTTTTTATAATGGAGGATATTATTAGAATTGCGGTGAATTAAGTTTTCGCGCAAGCGCAGACTGCCAATCGCCAAAAGGCATAACCTGTCGCTAAAATAACGCGCGATTCGCCGATTAATCGCGGTACAGAGACAATATCACGAAAATGACACATGACACCGAGTCATCTCCCTGTCCGAACAATTTCGCGTCGAATAATTAATGAAAATAACGTACCCATTATTTATTCCGAATTGTTGACTGCAATCTTTGGACAATTCCGTTTCACTGCCGCTGTCAGTCGACGCCTCGGATTTCATGACTCACAGTGCGCATTTGTACTTGCAATTACCGTGTTATCATAATTCCAGGAATAGCTCAAAGAAAATATTGAATGGTGGGAGACGCTTGTACAGCAGATTGCATATCTTATCAATTGGATTTGAAGAGTACGTTCTATCAGCATTAGTTTATTGATTAGATAAATTTTTAACGGTTGAATAATGCAATTGTGGATTAGGCAAAAGACAGACTGAAATAGCCCGCAGGAGACAAAGGGATGTGGAATTAGCCCCCAGGTTATATCACTAGATGCGGATTAAACCGTAGGACACACCGATGTACACGTGCAAACAATTCGTACGGATAATTATTCTGGATAAACACTGGGTGCGATAGGCAATCAGTTGAAATTCATAAAATCCAGAGCTTGTTCAAATATCATTGCCTTTTACATCAGAATTAATTGCCTTGATATTTATTGCAATTAGTCGATTACATTTGTTATATCGATATATTAAACCGATGTACATCTATGCGTATTTCCATTATATAATCGGAATCATTAGGATTGTATTTTGTGAACAATGGAGTTGGTAATGAAAAATCATGTGACAGGGTATCAAGTTCGTTTACATATCATACTCGATTGATAATTTTTGCAATGAACAAGCGAAATAACACCAGCCTCCGGGACAAAAACATATCTGACATTATGCTCTAGCACTGTGGATTCAATTAGCATGAAATTATCCGATATGGCTCGTGGCATTCAACGAAAAGTTAACACGAGATAAAACACTGACAGAAGAGTAATTACCACCCCGTGGATAACGTTTACATAGTAAATCAGTTTTTATCGAGTTAAGATGTATGAATAATTTATCAAATTTCGGTCATTAGTGCTTCTCGGGAATATTTCAATATCAAATGGAGAATTATTGCTCTAAATTCATGCACTTCTATTTTTTTTAGTCACTTTGGCAGGGAAAAATTGAATTTTTTGAAAAATTTGATAATTGTTTGATTATTTTCCAGAAGTTATAGTTCTGCCATTTTTAAAAGTAATTTCATTTTGATTCGCGAAGTTCCTGTAGTGAATCTGAAATTATTTTGAAATTCGTAAAATGTCCGCAAATATAAATAGTACAAATTGTTGAATTTCTAGTTCCGGGGGAGGCAAATTTTTTAATCTCGTCGCGTTAATGAATCTCGTATCATTTAACACGCGATATAGTTTGAAGTCCAGGGTCTCGCAATTATGCCATTTCTTGGTAGGTATAATTTCAACTCGCGTGCTATGCAAACGTTCTTTCATTAGTCAAAAAAAGGAAATAAATGGAATGAGACGTAATTAAAGAAAGAATTGTTGGGATATTGTTGTGGGTCTTTTGTTATACCGCAATGCGACATCCTCAGTGAGTTTAACGTTCCTTTTGCCCTCAATATTCATGGAAAGGTAAAGGGATTTACCGAATATCTCAGCGGAACTGTGTGGTAATAATTGAAATCACGCAATGCTCAATGTTTAATTATATTTTCACAAAAATCATTTGCTTCACATTAAACATCTACCCCACGACACAGCTGAACAGCTGAGCCTATGACAATTGGAAACTTATCATCATTTATCAATTACCAGGATTACTGGAATAAAATTGTATATTTTTTTAACCATCACACAATATCTGGAGGATGCAGAAAACTCGGATAAATAATGATTTATTACCCGGAATATCGCACATAGATTTAGATTCGGGGGATCATAAAGTTTGCTGGGGTAAGTACATTGACGACGTTGAAAAGCACTAGGATACAGTCCCGGGGTGTTCTGAGCTATGAAGTCAATTTATATCTGGTGGTAGTAAACGAGGATGGAGGGACATGGCAGTTCTTCCTGTTGATGGCTTGCCCATGGGTGACGGTTATCACGGCATAAAAACGAACATCAAACTGTCCAATTGCATGCGTTCGTACAAAATTTTGGCTCCACAACACATCAAAATTTCCGGCAATTTTCCCCGAAATTTCACGACATCACGTAAAAGCAACCGAAAATTCAATTCAAAAGTCATTGTTCGAGTTTTTTCTAAACCCCATGCAGAATATAAAATCCATTATGAATAGAGCAGAAATTTCAGAATTTATGAACTTAAATCGAATTATTGCCATAACAGAATTCATTTTTCTGCGGGTGTGAGTAGACTTTTGCTATGTTTAAAATTATAATCTTTTTGGAATTCCTGGTTGTTCTAATATTCTAGGAAAAAAACGGGATGAAGTTCCCGTGGTGGTTTAATATTTCAAGGACCGAGGAAGTAGGTCGAACGGGCTAGGAACATGCATCAATGTCTCCCAGAGTGGATTCTCCTGCAACTCGATAACTTTGACTTAACGATTTATTCACCTGCAAATTTTCACCCTGAGAATTCCAAAAAACTGGACTAAGACGAACTCCCAATAGAATTCCAGACCAAAATATTACAAAAAAGAAACGATAAAAAACTTCTGTAAACTCCGCGTAGTAGAATTATTGGTGAAAATTCTGCTGTTGTTAATAATTCAAAAGTTTTTTCTGTATTTCTCCAACGACTTCCCGCAAATGCGAAAAAAATGGACGTACGAGTGGCGGAATATTTCCCGGGGTAACAGCAGTTTCAACTCAGTCGTCTGGATATCATTTTATCCCTGAAAACCGTGGAAATGTCCGAAAACGCAGTAAAATGCATAACAAGGCCAGTGCCCGTATTACTACCTGGTCACATCCTCTCTTATCTCCCGACTGGACATGAAAAATTGAATGAAAACATTTTTCTACTCTCGTTATCAAAGACTCTTGAACGTGAAACGAATTCATTCAATTAATTAGTGGAGTCAGAGGGCGAGCTCATCCCTACAGAAATATCCATTAATTATAAAATATCGTAGAAATGAACAGGTATTTCTGGAATGTGTATTGTTGCATCCTGGAATGATGGAAAACTATTTCAATCTTTCAGCAATGGTTCAACGTGAATTGAACAATTGTTGGGATTAAATTCACCGAATTGTTCCGGGACTTCATCAGTGGATCCAATTTACGTGATCCGAATTCAAACCGAATTCCTCATGAAAATAGAAAATAGAAAACCTGTGACAATTAAGCCCCAGTTTTAGTTTGTTTAATTATAATTAATAAAGGTCAGTGGAGGCTTCATCGAGACATTCCACTCGAGAAACAGAGATTAGGTTTAAATCCGGCTTTAGACTCTACCCATCAACCGAGTAAATCACTTATAGTTCTGCCCCCGCGTTGTTGAGGGAAAACTTTAGGAAAAGTTTGGGGCACCCCACGGGGATAAGGGGGGTGAAATGCTACGAAATAATAAGCGGGTATCGATGCAAAGGGTTTCTCTCGTTAGAAGGTTTCACGCAACCCCGGGGAATTTGTGGTGGTTGATGCTCTCATGCATCAAAGGGGAGACCATCTCTCGTCAAACTTTAATTGAACCAACTCTCAGCTAGCCTGATGACACTATTGTCCCAATTACCTGCTACGTTGTACTTCGATGTGTCTCCATTTCGCTTCAATTCAGCAATTCCCCTGGACGATAAATCCACCAATTATCCACCACTCGTATTTTATCAATCAATTTTTTATCCCGTCTTTCTATCCTCGGAGAGTTACAGCCACGACCATTTTTTTACTCAAATTTAAACAAATGCTAATTAATAAATATCATTGACTGTTACAATGACCTAAAAATGTATTTTCATTCATTTTTCATTTATTTGTCTAAGAAATCCAAAAATCCAAAGAAAAAGATTGAACAAATATTTTATCAATCACTTACTGATATGATCGTACCCTCTTTTGAAAATCATTCAATCAAATTTGTTAATTCAATTTTCAATGGATGGGAATTGATAAAGAGCGAGACGGTTTGATTACACAAAAGTGATTGATATCTTTGATGTATTGGAGATGATTGGAGATGATTGGTGAACGATTCACTTGCCACGTGCAGAATTGTCGAGAGATGGAGGTGCAGACTGCTGTGCATGCAGAATCGGCCAAAATCCAGCACCACATTCTCAAGTACTTGGAAAGTTGAGGCGCTTCCCGTACATCACTTGTGAATAAATGTTTTACGATATACAGTGTCGTAACGACACCCGGGGAAAGCCAAAGACCCGAGACGTATTGCGACCTTCCGACCGGAAATTCGTGGTTGACTTCATACGTTGGACACGGAAATCCGATTTGGCTCGATTTCTCTTCACTCCCATTGTCACCAAATGCATCATGTGGTGCTGGTCACACCGTTGGATATTTCATTAGGTTTTACTTTCCTCCGGAATTCTTGAAATAAAAATTCCATTTATCTCGACCTTTTCCGGAGAAATTCCTCTTTCACGTCTCAATTCAATGTAACCGTTCTAAATTTTATTAAATAATAATAATACTTCTGGAAATGTTGCAAGTCGAGATATTAGAATATCATTATATTATTTTTGAAATATTGCAGATGGAAGGATTATAATATAAATTGTTTAATCGATATAATCAAAATCGATATATTTTAGGTAACATATACTGTGCACTGCTTGAGAATTTCTATGGATTGAATTCGTTATTCGGTCTGTGATGCTGTGGAGTATCCTCGATGTGTCGATCATTACTTTATTTTGTGATTTGAAATATCTAATAATTATTGGTATATTGACAAATAGTTGTAGAGAGTAAAGTTCGGGGGTAATTGACAATTACATACCAAATATGGAAATTTATTATGATTTTTCCTTGTTCTTGTAGTATCTCGAAATAATGTGTATTTAGCAGAAATATTTTTAGCTATAATATTTCTTCTCATGTTTTTTTGCTAGTTAACTCATGCACCGGAAAAATTCAAGAAACTTAGGTTTTCATGTTTAATCAATAAATTCATGTCATGGTCTAATATTTAATTACCATTTGTTATGAATATTTTAATAAAATCGGGAAACGATGAAAGTAACAGTCAATTGACTTTTTAATGTAGGAAATTCGGATATTCTTATTGATAATAAAAAATTATTACTAGTGC